AGAGGGCTCGGGTTGTGCTGCCTCACGTGGGACATTCACTGAACCACCTGCTGGGTTTGGTGGAGCTGTAATCGTGTTGTGGGAGAGGGAGAAAACTCGTCGTTTTCATCAAGTTCTGTTAAGTTGCCTAATAGCGTGAGCACGTTGTAGCGTTGGGAGGTCTCTCTGCTCGCACACCCCAAGCGACCCGTTCTGGTGCTTGGACCTTGCTGCTTCTCCTACCTCGGTGTTCTCGGCTTGGGTCAGCACTGGCGTGGGCAGCAGGAGCAGGGCAGGGATCGTCCCTCTGGACTGGGCACTGGGGGGGCCGCACCCAGTTTTGGGCCACTGGCTCCAAGGATCTTGAGGGGCTGAAGTGTGGCCAGAGAAGAGCAACAAAGCTGCTGGGGAAGGGTCTAGAGCCCAAGTGTTTGGAGGAGCAGCTGAGGGCCCTGGGGGTGCTGAGCCTGGAGCAAAGGAGGCTCAGGGGATATGTCACTTTTGACAGCTCCCTAACAGGAGATTGGAGCCAGGTGTGGGTCAGTCTCCCAGGGAAAAAGTGATAGGACAGGAAGAAACAGTCTCCAGGTTGCCCCAGGGGAGGTTTAGGTTGGACATGAGGAACAATTTCTTTCCCTTGAGGGTTGCCCAGGGCTGTGCCAGGCTGCCCAGGGCAGTGGTGGAGTCCCCACCCCTGGAGGGGTTTCCAAGCCGTGGAGATGTGGTGTGAGGGACATGGGGCAGTGGGGACCTGGCAGTGCCAGGTTAACAGTTGGACTTGATGATCTTAAAGGTCTCTTCCAAGCAAAACCATTCTGTGATTCTGCCCTGGGGTTTCTACATAAGCCTGGTGAATGTCTTTCCTACCCAGTACTTCTGTTTGGCCAGCACTCATTCAGGCAGAGGCTCTCTTGGTTGATGTTAGCCTTTGTGTGTACCCAGTCTTAACAGGAATTCTGCTGTGCAGCTTGGTGGACTGACTGTTGGCAAGACAACAAATCTAGTCAAATTCATAATCATATTAACAGAAGTCTTACTGTCATCTTAATTCTTCAGGCAGAAACAGAATTGAGGGCCTCCTGTCTCCAGCTCAGGAGCCAAAGTCTTGACATAACTATTTTAACAGTTGTGATGGACCTTAACCTTATTAAGCAGTTCTGGTTCAAATGCTGCACTGGGCAGAGTCTGGGGCTCAGCTGACGTGTTCAGCGTGGCACAGGTGACAAATACACTGCCACAGGGACTGAAACACTTCCACGTTACAAGGTTGGTGTGGGCTGTAGGCAGCAGTCACCATCACTCCATTTTCCTGGCCACCCCTGGGCTGTAAGTGGAGCAGTCACAGCTTCAAGGGTCACTTGACTGGCCTGTGCTCTGCCTGTGACTTCTCCTGGGGTGGGTGTCCTCCCTGTGAGGGCAGGAAGGACCTGAGCTCGGGTTCCTTTACCAGCTCCTGCAGAAAAGTGCCTGTTTTTAGGTACTTCATTATGGTGAGGTTTGTGCCTGTGCCCTCCATGTTGAAGTGACCACCTCAGAATCAAGGTGCTAATTCTCCAAGGGCACTTAAATCCTTACAGAATCTCACGTTAGACATAAAATCTGAGCTTCCTAAGAACACAATGAGGTTCATTTTGAGGGAGAATAAGGAAAGCAGTGAGCTGTCTTGGAGTGTCCAGACTACAGCTGTGGCTTGATGAACTGCAAGCTTGGAATTTTTAATATTCCTCACTCAGAAGTGTTCACTTTCATTAGGAGCTCAGAGTAATTTACTGCGTTGGAGAACGCTGAGGTGAAGTCCCACTCATTCCACAGATAGTTGCCACCAGAAGTTGCATAGTAAGGGAATGTTTGTGTGAAATAACTGAAGAGGTTGGTTAGCTTGTAATTACTTTCTTTCTCTAACATTGTTTTAAGATTTGGTCTTTGACCTCTCTCACTTTGTCCTGCTTGAATGCGTATTGGTTAAAATAAAAATAAAAAAGGTAATGGCACCATTATGGAAATTGGTTAAAATAAAAAAAAAAAGGCACTGGAATCATTACAGAACCATTGTGTTTCTCAAGGCTGTAATGCTCCTGAAGAGTTTTGGTGTGGGGCTTTGAGGTTTAAACCGTTGTTTGTGTTTCCAGGTTGCAGATATCAAGAGAGTTAACAATCTCATCAATGACCAGGACTTCTTCGCCCTGAGGTCTGTCAGAATTCCAGTGAAGAAGTTCAGTGTGCTGACCGAGACACATGTCTCTCCAAAAGTGAGACCAGTCCTTCGGCCTGCTCACTGCTCCCCAGAAGCACAGGAGACGGCACCTCCTGATAAATTTTCAGCTAGTGAAACTGCTGGCAGCTTCTTAGAAGAAGTGGACCGAGATATCGAAGAAATAGTGAAGTGCAACGACACAAAGAGAGAGAACCTCAATGAAGTTGTCTCTGCACTGGCAGCCCAGCAGATCTGCTTTGAAACGGATGGCAAGGCTCAGAAGTGCAAGGACCCGTACTACGGGGCAGACTGGGGCATCGGGTGGTGGACAGCTGTGGTGATCATGCTGGTGATCGGCATAGTGACCCCCGTGTTCTACCTCCTGTATTATGAGGTTCTGGTGAAAGCAGATGTCAGCCACCATTTGGCCATGGGGTCCTCCCACTCGCTCACCACACCAGCGCCGCATCAGAAGCAGCTAGGGGATGGGATGAATCCAGGGAATGTTATCCATGTTAATAACCAAGGAGACCATCAGCCTTAACGACGGGAGAGCCCAGGCAGCTGTTCCTGCTGGACACACAGCGTGGGGCTGGATCAAGAGGAAACCACAGCGTGCAGAGTGCCCCTGGGACACGGGGAGAACGCGTCCCGGCGGGTGGCTTGCCAGTGCAAGGAGAGATGCCTGTGGATCCTGGAACCTCTGACAGTGCCTCCGGCGGGTGGATTTAATGCAAGATTGGGATAGAGATGGAGGCATAAAATTGTCTCTGAAGCTTTGCACTTTTTTTTCTATTTTGATAGGCATGTGTTTTTGAATTAATGATGACTGAAAAATGTAGTGTGGACTAACACATGAGGAGACTTTCTGTATGTTTTACAGCCCTAAAACGGGCATTTGGGGATATCTAGCTTTTAAACATCTTCAAGTATTTATAGAAGGCATAGTACACTTGACATTTTAATATCAAGTTTACAGTTGTCAGTTGAAACATAGAGGAAGATTTTATTATTTTTTTTTAAAACCCAATAATTCCTTAATTGCCACTATGAAGTTCTTTTTTTAAAGTGATTTTTATAGAGGCAGTAGCAAATACCTAGGACAGAATCTTCAAATCTTGTGCCTGTGGTCAGCCCGTTCTTTAGCATTCTTCAGGATGGGCAGTGGGAGGACTTGTTTTCTGTGTGTGACACTGCCTCAGCACAGCCCAGCTGACAGTGTTGCTGAAACATCCCATCCTCCCGTGGTATCCTGCTGGAAGTGGACTGGGCTGGACTGGACTGGACTCCTTGTCAGGCCAGTCGTGGTGGGGCAGGAGGGTGCACGTGTGTGGCACCTCGCTGTGACTGCTTCAGGAGCCTGTCTTCTAATGGATTATTATTGTTGTACCCCCTCCAGCTGATCTCAGTTCAGGACCATGACTGTTCAGACAGCAGTCACGTGGGTATGGGGTGTGCTGATGGCCCTGTGCCTGTGAACCTCAAACACTAACTTTTTCCTGGAATTTCCTAGGAGTTTCTAGAAAATTTAAAGTGAGATTTGGTGGCTGTGGAGCTGCAGCAGGCTAGACCAGTTCCAGCTTCAAACTTGTTCAGTTCATAGCAGTGTATCCATCAGCCACTCTGTTCTGGGATGTTTCACTTGGGTTTCACAAACCACCTTGTTTTCCCATTCCTTCCTTCCCTACCTGAAATGCTACAAGATACATAAACCCTGGACTTTTCCTACAGAAAGAAGGAGGTACTTGTGTACTCTAAGAGTGTTTTCAAATAAAATCTGAGACGCTGCCTATAATTTTTTTTTTTGTTATATTTGCATTGTGGAGTAAGGTTTCTGTTGCCCTCTTTAAAGTGCCATTGTTAGCAAAGCCCAAGATAACTCCCTTGAACAGGATTTATAAAGAGAGAAATGCAAAAATAATCACTATCCTTTAAACTACTATTATAAGGTTTCCTTTGAAGTGTCCTGCTAAGTATATGCAGTGTAAAAAGTCTGATAAAGTTGAGAGTTCCCTAACTATTGGAGGTACTTCAAAGTGCTTTATCCACTTAAATTATGAAAGTAAAGACTCATGCCCTGCCTGTTCCTGGGGCATCTCTTGCCACAGGAAATAAGGGCAGATATTCTTCACTGTCATGCCAAGTGTGTGAACATGAATTGGATAACTTTTAATGGATTCTGTTGAAGTATACCAGAGCTTGAAGGGAAATGCTCTACAGCTGTATCTGTGAGCTATGGTCTGTGGCTCTGGAACCCCTGGATCAAAGTGGTGTCTGTGGAAGTGCTGAGACTGCTCCCAGTTCCCACACTAGAAGAGGGACTGCAAACAGCGTGGATTAAATGTTTCACAGAACACTTATTGTCACAGATCTTTTAAACCTATAGTTTCTTCCATGAAAAGAGTATGTTAATAACAAAACCATGAATGCTGAAGTACCAGTTCTGGGTAAAGCTGGATGAAAAACTGCATTGCAAAGTAATTAATGGTGGCCAGTGTGATGCTGCTGCTGTGGCTGAAACTTGAGGTGACCTGCTCTAGTTCCCACAGCACAGCTTTAGCACATCAAGATGTTTTATTTGCTGTGTGGGACCAAAACTTGGTACATAATGTGTCAGGACTTTGATGCAATCTTAAGTGCTTTTTTCCCTTCATTCTCTCACTGAAACCTCAGTGTTTCAAATATTTTTTCCTTCCATTTCTTATAAAGCTGTCAAAGAACATGAAATTGGCTATTGTGATGATGCAACCTAAGCCTAATTTACTGCACATACCTGAACTGACAGGTATCAAACTGCATCAGTAGGGAAGTGAACTCGAGTTGCTGTTCAGCTCAGTCAGGAGCTTCTCCATCCTGCTGGCTCCTGAGCAAAGTGATGAGTTACTAACTGCTGCTGTTTGTCCCCAGTGTATCTCAGCACAGGACGTGGCTCACTGCCACCAAGTTAAGTGTGATGGGCTTTTATTCACCTTCAGCAACCACTGGCAAAACATGAGGGATAGCTGCTTTACTGGACCATGTCAGGCTCTGACCAAGGGCCTTGCGTGTTTTTACTACTTTATTATGTAGCACAGTTTTAATTCAGGGTGTTAACTCTATCAGGAGACACAAGACTGTAGGGCTCCAGGCCCTGATGAGCCACAGGCAGCAGCTGGCATGGCTTGCTGCAGCAGGCAGGGGTCTTTGCTGCCTTCCCAAAGTACAACACGACTGGCAGTGCATGGTCCTGTGTCAGCCCTGACTGACACAGTAACTGCTCTGAATGGACTGATACCTGATCTCAGCTAAGAGCTGTAAAGTCACTCTTTTAGAAACTGACCTGTTTTAAAAACAAAAAAAGAGTGGCAAATCATGTTTTAGTGCAATTACAACACGTTTGGTCAGGGAGTTGGTTTTAAATTTAAGTGCACATTGCACTGTTGGGTCATGTGAAATGTAGGGGCTTCAGTGCGTCCTCACAAATAGTTTTTTGTATAACTATTTTGTAGGCTGGAAATAAAACTGTTAAATTCTGGATGAGGATGCAAGTCTTATATTAAATACTGCTCCCCTGCTTGCACAAGAACCTAAGTAATATATGTAAAATATAGATTTTCTTTTAGATTGCAGTGAAAGCAGGGCACATACTGTGTTCTTAGCTCTACACTGCATTTGTTATTATTAGAGGGCACTATTTTTATCTGTTTTATCTAGGTTTTATGTATGATCTAGAAGAAAAATCCTTGCCTGATGGCTGTTTTGTTGGCAGGAGCTGCATGCAGCATGCATGTCTAGCACACCATAACAGTTCACCTTGTGCATGCCTTGTAGCACTGTTCACCGTTCTACCTAAAGCTGTGAGGACTTATTCTGTGGAAGGAGGATTACAAAACAGGCATGACAGATTCAGGTAGGGATCAGTGAAGTCCTTAGGTGGGGATCTCCCCACGCCGTAGGCGGTGTTGCCTTGTCTGAAGCAGCAATGTTCTGCTGTGTTACTGAGGTAGGACCTGAGTACGTGCCTGTCCAACCCCAGTGCTGCCAACACAAACTGGTCTGAAGTTCTGTCAGCGTTTATGTCCGTTACTGTCTGGACATGAATTCTAAGTGACTGGAAAACCAGCTCCTGTGAGAGGTGAGGGGTCTCGCCGCTCACCTTGCACAGGGGGAACACCCAGCAGAAGGTAAATTGCCTACACTTGAGGCAAGGAAATTTAATTCTCAACGTTTTTCTATTGTTCACAACATCTGTCTTCCTCTTGTATGTCACATGCAAGAAACAGGGACACACCTGTTCAAGAAGAAGCTGCTGGCATGTGTGATGTTGAAAGTAAATGGATAGAATGGGTTTCTTGTGCAATGCAGCAGAATTTATTCAACATTACTTGTATAGGTATGAACACTTGAAACTAAAATCCATATATTGCAAGTGTGTGACCTGTACAGCATTTGAGTTTAATTTCACATGAAAACTGCACCTTCAGGAACAAGTTCTTGGACACAGGAGCTCACAGAATAATGCACTACTGGTTTTGAGTCACCAACGAGTCAAGTACTGCCAGACAGAATGCCAAAATTGCAGGGAAAACAGTACTTATCAGGAACATAAAGTTTTAGGAAAGTCAAACCAAACCAAACACAGCAGCCCTGATGAGCAGCAGTGTAATAGCACTGACCAATAATCTGTACCATCAAAGGACAACAGCACACAGAGGATGTTCTGCCACTCTGTTCTTCACGTATCTACTCTTGGGGGCAAGTTCTCTGCACCTCAGCTGTTGGGTCTTAAATAAAATCGATGTTTCCAAACATTTTGGTTTTGTTACCTGAAGCTTTCTTGTCTTGTTCTAATTAAAACCTCATGAATCAGAATAATTCACCATGTTCTTTATGTTGTTGTTTGGTTTTGAGTTGTTTTTTTTTGGTACTGATTTGTGTTAAGTTTCTGTCCTTTGTGCCATGGGAAGTCCCTAAATGTGTTAACAGTTACTGAGTGTAGTCTGCCATCCACACGTGGCAGCTCTGTGAGGTAACAAAGTCACTGTTGCCTGAAGGGGCAGAGGAACTGAGGTGAAGGGCTGAAATCCTCATCACTGATCTGTGTGCCAGCTGTGAAACCCAGGAGGCCATCATTTCTGTCTGAAATTCTGCCTCACACTCTAAATGAAACTACCCTTCATTATTTCTTGCACTGATTCATAAAGGTAACAAATTGTTAAATATTACATCCCCTGTTTACCGAAACACTGAAAATAATGATTTCTAACTAGAACAATAGGTCTTCAAAATACTCTCATTTTGCTGTTTGTCCATACTACTAAGATTCTTTCAAGTCAGTCTATATTAAAGTGCTAACTCATCAACTATTTTCAGTCACCTGAATTCAAAAGTTACAGGAGTTGCTTCAGGGGAGCCAGCTGCCAAATGTGAGCAGCTTAGGTCCATAAAGGCCGTATCCCTCCTGCTGCAGTCATCAAGAATTGCACTGTTACTGTCAAGATTTGGCTGCTAAAGCCTAGAACTGACTAGTGCAAATGCTAAGGCACATTTTTGATTAGAATGCAT